GCTTGGATTTTTTGCAAACACAGTTCATCTTTTTTGTTAGTTAAGGTTGTTACTGGAGGAAAGTATGACGTTGATGTATCTATAGAAGATCCAACTGGAAAGGTTATTTATAAAGAAATCAAAAAGCAGTACGCGAGTTATGATTGGACGACTTCTGTAGAGGGTCCGTACAAGGTAAGCAGCTAATTACTTCAGCACTGAGTTCCCAGGTACATTTATTAATGATGTGTTTCAGCGTAAAGGTATAATGTACTGAGGAAATTTAGGTGTGTTTCTCAAACGAATTCTCTACCTTCTCTCATAAAATAGTTTACATGGATTGGCAAATTGGAGACGAAGGTTGTTATCTTACATTTAGTGGTTACATTAAAGTTTTCTGTGGCTTAAGTTTTGTAACACTTTTGAGCAAGTTTTATCATATAGTCTTGTTTAATTGTGCAGTGGATTATATTAGGGGAATTTGAATGTTTTATCATGAACTTTCACTTATCTTTCTCGCTTAGCCTTTCTGAACTAGTTTAATTACATTTCTTGTCAAATAGAATGCTTTTTGCGAAAATCTGGTGTTTAGGTGTGAGATGAATTTCCTCTCAAACGGTTTAACTGCTTCATTTTCATCTTCTGGTAAGTCCATTTTTTTCATCTTTTTTTGCAGAGCACATGAAGGGAACTCCGCGTACAGCAGCCATGACTCAATTGGAGACTTCAGCTGCTAAAATTGGCGACAATTTGAGGGTAGCAGACGATTTTCAAACACATCACAGGTTGCGTGAAGCAACTGGGCGTAAACGGGCTGAAGAACTCAATGAAAGAGTTTTGCTATGGTCACTCGGGCAAACTGGCACAATAATTCTACTAGGAATTGCTCAAGTACGTTTTCTTTGTAGAGTTGGAACAACAGGCAGTTGCAAAAAAACTGTCCCTCAAATTGAACCGTAACTGAGGAAGGGGAATGGGTAAGATTCACTTGATGATAAATACAAACTGGTGGTTGCAGTCTTCCAGTTACATCGTGGAAGAAGAGAGAAGAATTATAGGGTTTGTTGTCATATTAACGTTTCGTGGCTTAAAAAGTACGGTTTTTTTCGTTCTGGTATTTGAAAAGCCTCATTTTTCTCGGGGCCGGTCTGTGAAGTAATATTTCTTGAAATTCTAAAACTTTTGAGAATCAATTTTAAAGGACATTTGTGAAGGAGGTGGGTTTCCGAAAAAGTAGCCTGTCACAAATTTATGATTTATGTTTTAGGTTGTGTTGTTACGTTCCTTCTTTACTGAAAAGAGAACGTCTTTTTAAACGGATCAAAAATCGACGTGTTCAAAGGCTTGTGGCCTCGGATTCGATTTTTTTTGTTTGCTGCTACAGTAGCAAATATTTTCTGGCGAATTCTCGACAACTTGTGTCATACCTTCCGCTGCGGTAGTGGGAATCTTTTTAAGTTTGTTCGTATAAACCTAAAATCCACAGAGGATGAGACGGGTAAATTAAAACTTAGAAGTTGTTGTAGCACTTGCCAAGTTATGTTTTTGTAATGGTGTAATTTATTTTTCAGTCAACTTTTAATTAGACGCCAGCCTCAAAAATTCTCACATTTCTAAATGATCGCTGCATCGTTTTAAGCTTGTTGTTAATATCTCTTTTAAAAAGTAAATTTTCTGCCAGAGTGCTTTTGTTTGTTAGGCTGCGCATAATAATAAGCGGCTGTACGCTACAGTCTGCTTAGTTTGTTCTTGGTTTTGTTTATCGGACTTTGTAGAAATTTTTAGTGCGTGATGTATGTTAATTTTGGGAGGAATAAATATATCATTGTTAGAGTACGAGATGATTCAAAAATGTAACAGGTTTTCAGTGGCAACTCTGGCTTTCCCCCCGCAATCCCACAATCCACTTCTTTGAAAACTTTTGCTATCTTAACTCCGCATGTCAACTTGTTCTCTCAATGTTCAAAAAATGGAAGCTGTATCGCGAAAGTAAGGAGTTGCTCAAGCTAAGAAGAATTTATTCACTCCATCATAAACTATCCGCCCTGGGAGTCTGCAGCAAAGTAACATAAAAATTTAAAGCTCCAAACTCCTGACTTCCTTCTACTTGATTTACTGCTTTTTTTAAGGCTCAAGAGAGATCCTGCTACAGTAACTTCACCCTTTTACGTAATTTATTTTTACTTCTTTTAAGCTAATAATTAGAAATTCTTTTGTTTTACAAGGACTGAACTCTATGATATTTTATTATTAATTTCATAAAAGAATACTACTCATTACTTACTTGCAGAAACTTGACGTATGCACAGTAAATATTAAGTGGCTGTAAGTGGTCCAGAACAAATTGCTTCTTTGGTGGTAAAGTCTGAAAAGACAAAAAACGTGTTAAGTACATGAAACTCTGCCATTTGTAGACGTATACGAAGCACTTAAAAAAATCAAGTTGTACATTTAGTTGAATGCTTATTAAAACAATTTTTGTTCGGAACCTATAGTTCAGGCATAAAAAGCTAAGGGCGACTAACCCTGCAGTAATTAAACCCTAAGTTTAAATTAAAAAATTTTACAAATTTAAAGCATTATTGTTGGGCTGAGGAATTCAAGCGAATTTTTTTTAGTTCGATTACTGCATTAAGTAGTTCCAGTACCCTCTCACAACTTTTATATTCAAGCATACAGTCACTACAGTAAGCAGGGCAGACCTGATTGAATCCATACTGTTCTGAGTCTTCAAGTAAACGAGTTATATTAGACAGTGAAAAAGGAATGTAATGAATTCCCGGCTTCAGATAACTGTAAAAGTACTCGTAATATTCCGATGGCGACTTTAAAATAACACTGTCGCCAGCCAAGAGGAAAGGTAACCGGTATGCTGCCACAGTGCCATCAATATTTAAGACGTATTTATGCTTGAAATAGAAAACTAGTCACTATTCCTATGCCTAATAGAATTGTCAAAAACACAAAAATAATAATTTACTACTTCAAAAAAATTAGAGAACGGCTTCTGTTCAACATGAGGAGAGTGAAGAGACTCGTTGTGAAAAAAATATTGAGTTATCCCTCCTTCAATTAAATCCGGGCGGGCCCTCGCTAAAGCCGATATTTCCAAACGCAACTGAATTATAAATTAAATTATATATTCAAAAACTACATTATAAAACTACGTAAGAAAAACCAAGACAGACAAAACAAAAACAAAACAATCCAAAGAGGCTAACGCTATAACCTCAGTTATAAACTCAAAAGGGCTCTAAATCGGTTTCATCAAATCCTTAAATTAATTACAAAGTGGGGCCCGGTGGCATCCTTAATTTTCCTTAACTTCAGCTTAAAATAAAGCCTGAATAGGAGAAGCAACAAACTTCGTTGGAATCACGCCCCCTAAATACTGCTGTAGACTTTTTGGTACTCCATGGCCAATGTTTCTGACCTTTCGCCGTATGAACATCAAGATTTACGGTATACATTCCTCCGATAACAGACTCAGTTAATTCGTATGTTGGAAGAGCAATATCCATAGTATCTGAAACGACAAGTTTCCTAAGTAGTGCGGCCTTTATAAAGCTCAAAATATAATATTTTTTAAAAATGATAGAGCTTCAATGGGCAGCAGTAGTTTACAAGTGTCCCTCTACTTTTCAACGAAATGAATAGCCATAGCATCACATTATCAATAGACCATTTTATAAGAAGTAGATGTGCTTGTTTAGAAACAAAACTCTTTGATTGTATTGATAAAATGAAAAATGAGAGATAAAAACATGAAACTAGAAAAAAAAAAGAATCGGCAAATTTAAAAATTACTTTCTGAACCACACCAACCCACTAAAGGCACGCCTCCATCTTCGATTTTCTGCAGCGGATAATCACCAAGATTAAATAAAAATTCAGTGTTTGGAAGTATCATTTTCCGGACAAGTGATATTAACATGTTGTCAACAAACCGTCGAAAATCCGTATACATCCCGTAACAACGACGATATATCTACATTTAAATCAATTATTATTTAACTTGAAACCAGAAATGAGAGAAGCTTAATCTAGGCAGGAAACAAATACTTTGTTTTCGACAATCTGGTAGTGACACAAAGAATAACTGTATTTATTTTCTGACTTGCCCCACGAGTTTTCAACTTTTTGAATAGCTTTACGAAAATCAATAAAATCCCATTGCTCCATGTCTTTCTCCATTTGATAGAAACTGTTTGGACAGTCGGCAACACTTAACCATTTTTCCATACTTATCCTTGCGCAGTCACAAATTTCCGGAATAAGGGGTTCTCCGCTGTCTTTAAAATGCTGTTTTGAATCTCTAAGAGAGAAGAAAGACAAAAGAGCCAAATGTCAGCAAAATAAACTGTAGATCGTTCCACATTAAATCGCAAATTTTTCAAGATTAACGCTATAAACTTTTCTTAAGCTCAGGCTTTAGCAAAGCCAGTCAAGTGATTTACTGGAGAGAAGTTTATTTAGAAAAAGAATCTGATTGTGTAGAGAGATACTATTAAAATATGAAAGTTAAAGTCTTCCCCAAGCAAATCTTCTTTCAAAGCTAACAACTCCACTTTCAGCAAAAAAAACCAGGTAATTTTTGACTTGACATAGATGTGCTTTTGAATGTTTGCTGAACTTATACTTCCCCATTTTAAGTATACGTACAAAACACTATAGTCAATGAAATGGCATAAAATTTGTAACAGCACGAACTAGGTAAAATGTTCAAAGTAGTTGAACAGGACCAATACACCTGCCAAAGAAAGTTAAGTAGGGAATCGGCTCCCGCTGAAATCACATTTCTACCAGTTCTACATTTAATTTATTTCGTACACTGAAACCTATCTACCTAGATTATCCTTACTTTCCATTTGCGGAAGCCAGTTCAGCTCTGGAATTCGGCTAAAATGTGCTGCTGATTACCTCTCTTTCTCCTACTCGGAGTCGTTTCAACAGGTTTGATTTTTGGTGCCCCAAAGAGACTTCGTTATATTTCTACCTACTTTTTGAAATAAGGCGCTTCACAGAAAAAGTTATTCTGAAAAGCACCAAAAGCGTTTTCTTTCTTCTTTCGCAGCTTGTTTTTGAAGCTTATACTTTAGTAAAACTCATACTTTTTTGATAAGGCCTCTACTGTGTGCATGTTATTCTAGATTTAAAATATCGGGCTCCCATTTAAACTCAAGTTCAATAAGCGAGTGACAGAATCAAAAACTTTGAAAAAATATTTAGCTGTATTAAGGTAAGGAAAAACTCTACGACATGACGAGTGTCTTGAAAAAAACGGTTTCTCAATAAATTCTTCTATTTGATAAACTGAGTGCCAGGGCCCACTAGTTATCTGACTCAGAAAAAACTTGACGTAAAAACTTTCAGGGGATGCGATTTGACATGTACGATCTTCTTAAAATGCTGCAAAAAATAAAGCTCTATTAGTACAACCTTATTCCACTGTTGCACAAGTTTTTTTCCAAATTTTAGAACCAAAATGTAACTCATTATTAGGAATAGTCATTTCTCAAGTATCCCATTGTATAAACATTTTTTTCCAAACCTTTTTTAATAATTAGAGGCGAACCACAAAGAGATGTTCCAGATGGCGAAAATACAGAAATACTTATTTCTGGGCAAGGTGACCACAACCGTAACCGTAGAACATATGAACCGTCAAAATTGTCAATTATTTCTGACCTGAAATTACCACTCACAACAAAATAAAAACGCTTGGAAGTTTAAGGAAACTGACCGCATCTCGTTTTCCTCCGTAGCGGTTAATAGTGATTCAAAATATCTCATTGCTAAACTCGCCTAAAAGTCAAGCTGATACTCCTCGCTTCCTTATAAATATAAAAGAAAGCATTAACTACTTGAAAATTAAGTTTGAAAAGTACAATGCATAAGAATACATGTGGCAATAAATAATGCGCAGTTTAAGCAGTCTATTAATCAAAAACCGAAAACAACTCTCAATTAAAATTCGAGATCTTTGTTGCTTAGATAATTATTTAGCAAGCGCTTCAGTTTTGCAAGATACAAGGTAAAAATAAAGAGTACGAATAGCCTACTTGAAACTGCAGTTACCGAAAACAGCAGTCGAAAGTTTTCCAACTGACGACGTAACGTTATGTCCATTGCGAGTCAACTGAATATGTAAATAACGGACCGGCAAATCAAGAGTTAACACCCCGCTGCAAAGAGATCCTTCTCGCCCGTTCGATGAACATAAGAGCAAAATGACGGATGAGAAAACTGTTAGGATAAGGCGATTCAAGTATTTCATTATGACCCTTCTAAAAAATATTTTTTGAAAAATATTTTTAATTATGTGCCAATTAAGAGCAAAAGATAAAGCTTCTTTTTGTAACTCCCACAGACAAATATTAAATCAAAATACAGAAGAAAAAGAGAAATTAAAAATCTTATTCTCAAGTTCACCAAAAACAGCTTCTTTATTCACAACGGCCATTATATATTGAAATAATAACTGTAGTTTTGTTGCTTCAATTTCCAAAGTTATTTTCTACCTTTGACTGCGTTATTCCCTGTAAACAGTTGAGCGTCCAGCGATAAGATAAATGTGTAAGACACATACACGTTCATTTGAAATTTATTATACATTAGATGCCAAAATAAGCGAATCTCTCTAGCCAACCGAACCGGAGGAATCGCTATGTTGCCAATAAATATTTTCAAAAAAAGAAAAAATGAGAATCCACTGAAAAACCTTAAAAAAGTTAAACTGCGATGAAAAACATATGTCTGTGTGCACATTTAAAATTTATCAGCTACAACTCCCTACAAAAAACTAGAAAAATTTATGAATTTCATTCTTACTATGCTGCGTTACAAGCCTATCACCACCGTCGTAGAAGTCATAAGGCTATTTCGGACAGTTCAATGAATTATTCAAGCAAACCGGGGGCAATAATAATTCAAATACCTGTAAATGAGTAAATAAACTGTCTAAGAGGATAAATACCGACCAAACGGAAGTATTACATATTATCACTAAATGGAAAATTTTCTTTGAGTGTTAATATGAAGAAAAATCAATGTTTTCCGATGCCAAACATAAAACGGCAAACCTGATATGAACGTCAGTAAAAGTAATGATACGTTTTTAAATAAAAGGCTGCGGCAGTTCCGCAGTGGTCTAAATTAAAAGTCACTCAATAAGTCTAGGTAACTGACCCAGGCTTAAGCAAAGCCAAATCATCCTCTCAAACCTGTAAGTGACGTTCGCCCCAGTAACTCATAGCTTGCATTCTTCAGTAGACCCTGACAATAACCCACAGTTACAATGCCAGAAAAATATAAGAATGCTGCCGTGATTCCGTCATTTATGCAGTTTGAACAGTCACGTCTGCTATGCTTTATTTTGCTGTGAAAACTTTTAATTTTTTTTTTTCAATCCTATTTTGTTGATTTGTTCTTTCCTCAGAGTAACTGCTTAGCAGACAGGGTTTTTAAAGATCAAAACAAAACTATAGTTCCTTAAATAATTATTTTAAACAACTCCAAAGAAAAAAAAAAAAGTAAGATTCTCAAATTTTCTTTTTGCCTCATTCTTCGAGTATTATTGTGTGTGAATTGAACTAAAAAAATCTGCAAGTTGCTTTTCCAGATTTTTGGTTAAACAAACACTGAGTTGCTCAAATAAAATGGAATTCTAAAGACGATGTAAATAGTGCCATTAATGAGTTCTACATAACACTTATTAATGGTTTGCTTAAGATTTATCTTTTACACAGATACGTGCAAATAGAACCCGTCAACAGATTTCACGGCTGTACTTCGAAAAAGCAAGCAGATTACACACAAAAACTTAAGTTGATTTTGGCTAAGTTGCTGAAACTATTCAAAGTGATAAAAACCCAAAAATGCCCTAATTCAAATCCTTACTTACAGCACAAAATCAACATTTTTGAAATATCAAAGTGGCGCCTTGTGAAGCTGTCAACAAACATTTTGCGCAGTTAAAAACCTTGTTAGAGAACTCTATTTCCCCATGATCCCGTATCTTCTGGTTTCGTATGGTGCGAAAGCAAAATTCTATATTTCTTATTTTTTGCTTTCAGAAACAAGAAGTTGTTTACGGAAGATAAGCGGCATTCAGTTTCTTCTAATCTTTATGCAGTTAACACCTTAGTGTTAATGACAGATCGTAATAGTGTATAAGGAAGCGTTTAAACTGGCTTCTAAGCGTGAAATTACCACGGCGGGAAGGCCTGAGGCCTTCCAAATCTATTGCCTTTAACAACTTCGAGTAGTACATTAGACATGTTACAATTATACTACAGCGGCATGACAGGCATATAGGCGCTGGTTTAAACCGAGCTGTTAATATAGACTGTTGATTAGAATACAGTGTGAGAAATGTTCAAAGGAATTTAGTAACATGAATATTTTTGGTGACTACTTGAACACTGATAGTGCATACTGGTAAGTAATCTACGCGGCAAATCAAAAAATACTGAATGCTTGAAATCAAACCCACTTCATCTTTAAAAGAAAATAGCTCGACAACGATAAGAAACTGAGCCAAGAATGAGCAAAATGAGTAGAAGGGAAAAAAAAACATTCAGTGGCTCCACATCCCGCACCTTTAATTCAGTAGTTCCTTTTTATGTTACCTGAAGCTGTTTTGGTCGACATTTGCTAAGTGAGCGTTGAGGAGCTGTTAGTTTATTCAAAAGATAGATACCAATCTATTGTGATAATGAGTTGAGTACAAAATTTGCATTGGTTTTTATTTAGTCAGAAGCTTCCAGATTTTTCTTTATGAAAACTTTCTCATCGGAATAAGTTCTTGCCGATAGTTGTTAAGCCCGCTTAAATGTTTTCTTTTTGTTTTCTGAGACGCTTTCTTCTAGTGTTTGTTCCACATTGGTGTACAGAAGTAGAGTTTAGTGCTTAATTTTTAACTTTGGGTCAGTGTTTAATGAGTAGATTGTGTTATATTGTAATAATTTTCAAAAGTACTTATAATTTTTTCTTCTTAGCTGCCATTGTAACTTGTTTTCGGTGCTGTTCAGACTTTCTAGCTTGTTGATTAGAATGGCCGAAAAAGAACTTCAGTGTTACAACAAAGGTTGTGGGAAAAAATTCAATCCCGATGAAAATCATCCTGGTATTGTTTTCTTCTTTCTTATACGAGTAGATTATGGATTGCGATAACTTTTCACCAAATGTTGTTCTTAAAGACTTGTTGATAATTTCTTAGTGGATTAACATACTGCTTTAGATCATTTTTATTTTGTTTCAACCTAGTTTTAAGATGATTTTTTTAGAAGCTTGTTTATACCACCCAGGCCCTCCGTATTTTCACGACGCGTATAAAATTTGGAATTGTTGCAATAAGAAGAGTACTGATTTTACAACGTGGTTAAGCATTCAAGGATGTACGCGAGGAAAACACAACCCAGTAAAACCAGTTGAGGAGCCTCCTAAACGTGAAAATAAAGAACAGGAATCACGCCCTAAGTCTCCGGAAAGGGTCTTTTTTTTGTAGTTTTATGACTATTGCTTTATTCAGCTTCAAACATTTTGTCTGCCTTCCTCCTTATTTGGAAAGTATGATTCTTCACTGTACTTTTGTACCTTTCATTGCTTTTTTAAGTACTAACAATTTCTGGCTGTATAGGTCATTGTGTGGAATGGTTTGAACAAACCTGCTCCACGAAATGAGGCCCCTAGATCAATGTCTAAGTTGCGACTTGAATCTACCGAGGCGCTTTTGAAAGCTATAGAAGCACATAAACAGCAAGTGACTGAGGAGAGCAATGAAGTTCACGTCGGTGTCTCATGCAAAAATAGTGGGTGCGATAAGGTGAAAAGCCAAATAAATAATCTTTCTTTTTTACTGAAGTCCTTCATTTGGTTATTCAGCTTTAAGGAACAATTTTGGGTAATGAGCAAATTTTTATAATTTTTTCTACTATTTTTAATTTTTTCAATACTTTGCTTTTTTTCAGAAATATGAAGGGAAACAGAGCGATGAAGAGGAATGTTTATACCACAGTGGTGTTCCTGTTTTCCACGAAGGAATGAAGTACTGGTCATGTTGTAAAAAAAAAACCACAAACTTCAGCTCCTTTTTAGAACAGAAAGGCTGCTCTGTTGGCAAACACTGTTGGTCTAAAGTGTGCCTTTAAATTATAACGAATTTGAGACGAATACTCATTGAAACCTCTTTGAATTAATAGCAGTCATTTTTTACCAGTTTCCAAGTCATAGTTACTGACAGTTCAGTGTTTTTCAAAAGTTTTTAGACCACTAAAAGTAATTTAGGCACGAAATTGAAAAAATTATAAGGAAGGGTACTTTCCTCTTGATCTGTTTTATTCAGATGAGTTTTTCCAAAAATTTTTCAAGAGTTTTTGGGGTTTGGAAGCAACACATTTTTTACCATGTGGTGAAAATGCTATTTTTTATTTTTATGCTGAAGAATCTTGTTATTGGATGTTATTTGGATTTGTTTTTTTTCCGATACTAAAACATTTTAGAGTGAACGCGTGGATAAAATCAGGGAAGATTGGTTCTGCAGAAGCGGTTTCATTCATTTGAATGTGTATTGTAAAGGGGCGTTAGTTAACGAGTGCTTGGTGGAAAGTGATGGTTTCATTCTTCATGCTAAAATCGTTCACGGTTTTGGTACTAAAGAAACTGATTTGAATTATGAGCTTTTTGGACAAATCGACGTGGCAGAATCAAAAGTATGATTTCTTTGCGGTTTTAGTATTGCCGTGGTTAAACAGTATGTGATTTCCTTGGAGGTGCAGCTTTTGCTGGTTTAAATGCGTATTCTTCCGGCTTCTCGGCTGTTTGCAATATTAGACTCTTATGTTCCAATAGGGATTTTGAAGTTAGGGATATCCCACTTATAATCTAAGAAGCCAGTTGTTTTGACTTTAGGTTATTCTCTCGTCTTTCATTCTGGCAGTACGCCTACAAGCCCTTATATAGGCAAGAGTCTGCGTCTACATTGTGAAATTTCAGGTTATTGTCGGCGAAAGGAAGCTGGAAATGGTCTTAAAACAAAAGGACAGTGCGGGTTGGCCTCGTTTGACGTATAATCCA